TAGGGGATCTGACAGCCTCTTCTGTCCTCCTCGGGCATTGCACAACATGGGTGCACTGATTTGCATGCAGGCAATACATGTATACACATAAAATAAAAATAATAAAATATTTTAGAGAAAAAGAAAAAAAAAAAAGAAACAAGAGGCACTTTGAGGCTGCCTGTGACCCTAACTTTTCCAAGGTTCCATTGAGATGGCCACTGATTCCACTGATTTTAGTTGGTGAATCTGGCATGGTGGTTTTCTTGTTTGGCTTTTGGTTTTATGAGACAGTGCCTCACTGTGTAGCCCAGGCTGTGTTCAAACTCTTGATTCTCCTTCCTTAGACCCCCAGGTGCTAGGATTATAGGCCCACCCAGGAGAAAGGGTAGTTTATTATTTAAACAACTTTTCTATATATAAAAGGAAAGTAGGAATGCAGGATACACACAATTCAAATCAAAGACTTCTTTTTTCCCTCTGTGAGTAAAAAAGTTTCCTAGAGTTACTCTGGAAGGTAGACAAAGAAAAGAATTACTGCTCAGTTTACAAAAGCAACTATTGTAGTAGCATAGTCAAAAAAAAAATTTTTTTTTTCTTTTTTGAGACAGGGGTCTTCCTGTAGCCCCAGCTGACCTGGAATTGGCTATGTAAACCAGGCTGGTCTCTATCTCACAGAGATCCACTTGCCTCTGCTGGGATAAAAGGTGTATGCCACCACTGGTAGCTGAAGTAGTATATGAGCGCAAGCAGTTGTTTCTTTGTGTTGATATTTGTTCTCCTGAAAATTGAAACTCCTAATTATCCAAAATATCTTAGATTTAAAAATCTGTTGACTGGCATGAGAAAAACACTGTAGTTTAACGGTAGGAAAAGAGTGGTCATAGGTGTATTTCAAAACATTGCATGTTGTTCTCTAACTTTCATAGAGGATATATGTGCTGTGGTTTTCTTCTCCTACATAAATAGAGCCAGAAGTCTTTGAGATACATATATATTTTTTAATTTTGAAGCTACCTACTGTGTGATCTGTTTCCAAAACTTGCTTTCTCTTCTCCAGTACTTTACTTTATTCTTGAATTTGCTACTCAAACCTTTGTGTTTGTTTCTAGGGACCCTACCAGGACACATTAGAATTCTTGTTGGGTAGCAGAGATGAGTGTAAGAACTTCTGGAAGATTTGTGTGGAGTATCACACCTTTTTTAGACTTTTTGACCAGCCTAAGCCAAAGTCGAAAGCTGTCTTCTTCAGTCGGGGCTCCTCCTTCAGATACAGGTAGGGCCAACCTCAGCTACAAGGACAGCAGCCATTGGTGAGAGGGAGGTGTAGGTTGGGCAGAGAATTGTATTCAGGGATAGCTTTTATAAAGGACAGGAAGTAGAGAAAGCTTCTCAAATAAATATTTGAAATATGGGAAAATTAGATGAACAAAAATCTTTGCCTAGAAAATAAGTTATTGTAAAGTATAACTGAATTGTGTACGTGTGTATTTATGGGAGAGGGTTAGCAAGTCTCACTTTTCCTCAGGGTTTTTTTTTTTTTTTTTTAGACAGGATCTCCCTGTAGCCCCCAGCTGGCCTGAAACTTGCTATGTAGACCAGGCTGGCCTT